GGAGCCTATGCTAAGCTTAAATCAGACATCAAAGGACCTCATAAACATACTTAATTTAGTTGCAAAACTAACCTTGGCTAAGAGCAAAATAAAAGAGAAAAAGTAATTTTGACAAATTATTTTCTAGTAAAAGCCTGCTCCACGTTGAGTCCGTTCAATTCCTGCCTGGGACTCTAGGCAGCTCCTCCCCCTTGCTGCATGGCCTTTGGCCTTCGGAAGTGAAAGTCACCAGGAAGGAGGAACCTGGGGGCCAGGGGATCTCAAGGTGACGTGGCCAACACACGTTGAGTGCCGGGTGGCTCAATGCCAATGGAACCGTCCCAGACTGTCACGGTCGCCTCCAGGGAGACTCAAGGATGACCATAGGGACCTGCGGGCTACAGAGAAGGGAAGGCTGCCGCCGGGACAGCTGCCCATGTGCTCTGTGGTTGTGAATTTGGAAAAGGCACAGCTGACAGAATGGGCAGCTTCTGCTAAGGGTGTGAAGGAGCTGGTGTGTGTGGGTGTGCCTGTGGGTGACTGCAAAGAGGACACAGGCTGGGGCACGTTACCGGCAGTGCCAAAGGGCCAGCCCCTGCCCTGTACTAAGCCTTTGCCTTCTTTTCCTCCTTGAATGCATAAAACCCCATGAGGAGGGAAGTATTTTTATTCCCACTCAGACAGGAAACCGGAGACAGGCAGGTTGAGTCATCTGTTCAGGGATGTCAGGTAATAACAGTGGTGCTGGGGTCCAAACCACTGCTTCAGAACCCAGACAGTGACTAAGCCACTAGGACTTGTTTAGTTATTGCTTAGCAGTGCTGGGGGCGGAGCCCATTGTACCACGGAGCTCCACCCACAAGGCCTTGCTAACCTAGGAGAATGTATTAGTCCTTGGCCAAAGGGACCAGTGATGCAAAATCCTTGGAGGAAGGTGGCTTCCACTGGCTGAGGGCAAGTGGCCAGAAAAAGCCAGTAACACCCATAGCCTAGGGAGATGCGTAGTCTCTATGAGGCCAACTATCGATACTTTCAGCTCAGATCCATATTCTGGGGTCCACTTGGCTTACCACAGGCCACATTCCCACACTCTAGTGCCTGAATAAAGCTCCTGCTGGGCACGGTGGCACACACCTGTGATCCTGGCACTTGACAGGCTGAGGCAGGAGGTCACAAGTTTAAGTCTCATCTAGGCAATTTAGTAAGATCTTGCCTCAAAATTAAAAATAAATAAATAGGGCTGTGGATGTAGCCCAGTGCAAAGGCCCTGGGTATAATCCCTCCCTAGTACTTCCCCAAAAGGTGAATGTTTCTGAGCCAGGCATGGTGGTTTGTACCTACAGTTCCAGCTACTCTGAAGGCTAAAACAGAAAGACTGCTTGAATCCACAAGTTTGACACTAGCCTGGGCAACATTTCAAGAAAAAAAAAAAATGCGGAGAAGGGGAATGTTCCAGAAAACAAAGCTGAAGTGATACAGCAGCTTACGACAGCTACAGAAATCACACACAGCCAATGCTCTCAGCTGAGCCAGCCCCAAGCTGCCCGGGGGTCAAGAGAAATTGAGTCCACCAAGTCAGTCATCACAGGAGCCTGAGGTCCGGAGGACAGAAGGGGGGCTGGCACAGACCTCCGCACAGCATGTTGAGAAGAGGGGCAAGCAGCAGCAGAGGGGTATTAGAGGCAGCCAAGAGGGGACCTAAGCAGAAACCTCAGCCCTGAAGGGCTTAGCCTGAGCCGTGCAGATGCGGCCAGGGCACCTCAGCCCATCCCTGGGAACGTGGTGGAGGAAACAGGGTTCGAGCTGCTTAGGATCATTTCCATCATCTCATTAGTGAGGTCACCTCCCAAGGCCACTGCGTGCATAAGCGCATGCTCCAGAATCTCATTACCCCTGTTGCTCATGCTACCCTTCGCCTAGAGGGTCCCAGGGGCCAGTACCCCCCCATCTGAGCTCATCCTGTGGGTGGCAGGAGGAAGGTAGGTGAAACGGTCTCTGGAGGCTCCAGGTTCTGAGACAGGCTAATTGCAGGCTTCCTAATTAGCAAGCCATGGGGTTGCATTCAATCAGCTGAGTTCAGCTGAGTCAGAGCTGATGTCTGGGCCCAGGGCCCAAGGGCAGAGGACCAAGAGTCAGGAAGGGAACCATCTGCCCCTCCATTTTCTTTTTGCGGGTGTTGGGGTAACAAACCCAGGACCTCACACATGCCAAGCAAGCACTCTACCAACTGAGCTACATTCTGAACCCATTTATTTATTTATTTATTTAGTACTGGGGATCAAACTCAGGACCTTGTGCTTTTGAGGCAGGCAGGAGCACCACTGAGCTAAATTCCCAGCCCTACCCTTTTTATTTTATCTTGAGAAAAGGTCTTGCTAAGTGCCAGAGCTGGCCTTGAATTTGGAATCCTCCTGCTCCGCCTCGTAGGTACACGCAGCCACATCCAGATCTGTTCCTCCATTTTCAAGTCCATCCTCCCCACCATTTGAGAGGGATTTCAGTGGTCCCAGCCACCCTTCCCATACCTGATGTCTTCCTGGCGCTGTCCCATGTGCCTTCCATTCTGCCCGGATCACTCTAGGCACATTTGGTTCTGACCCCCACGGGGCTTCCCAATCTCCCAGTTTGCTTCAGAATTGATCTCCTTCAGTCCTACCTTTCAGGATCCTGTTCGCTGCTGTCCCCCGCCCCATAGCAGGAAGGCCTTTCCTGCCTTTCAGAAGCTGCACCTGAGGGCTACTTTTCTATTCTAATTGATCCAGGAGCCAGGAGCTGTACCCACCTGCAAAGGTAGCTTCAAGAGCCTTTATTTAAAACAGACAAGTGTCTGCTTTTTGCACCTAGAGGTATAGTAATAGTGAGTTTTTGAAGGCCACCTGGTGATGAGGTCGGTGCTCCACTCTGGAGACTGCTGAGCTTCTCATTCTACGTGGTGGATCTGGATCCAAATGAAAAGGTTCCCCAGGTTCTTTGGCTAGTGGACTCAACAACAGAATGGCAGCCATTCACATCAGCTCCTTGCTTAACTGAGTTTCAGTTCTAGCTCCAGTTATGTGGATTGTGCTCAACAATTAGAAACTTTTCCTTTTCCTCCCCTTCTCTTCCTTTTTTTTTTTTTTTTTTTTTTTTTTTGGTACCGGGGATCAAACTCAGGTCCTTGTGCTTGAGAGGCAGGCACCAGAAACACTGAGCTAAATCCCCAGCCCTCTTTTCTCCTGTTTCTGTTTTTATTGTTGTTGAGGTACTGGGAATTGAACCCAGGTATTCATGCATGGCTAAGCAAGCACTCTGCCACTGAGCTACATCCCAGCTCCCTTTTAAAAGTTTGAATGGATAAAGATGTAGGGGAACTGGGAAGGGTAGGGGAAAGGAAAGAAAAGAAGGGGAAACAAAAAGTATTAGAAAAGGAAAAAAATGGAAGCAAAGTCTTTGTAAATAGGGAGAGGTGAAGGGGTTGAAGGGAGGTCAGGGGAATGGGAAAAAAGTAAGAAGATACATCATGTAAATGTACAAGATCCCAATGATGAATGTAACTGTACTGTATACCTAAATTATAACAATAAACTTTCAAAAAAATTTTGGGTTTTTTTTTTTTGAGACAGGGTCTCACTATGAAGTCCAGACTGACTTGAAACTCACTATGTAGCCCAGGCTGGCCTCAAACTCACAGTGATCCTCCTGCCTCAGCCTCCTGAGTGCTGGGATTACAAGCACGCGCTACCATGCCCGGCTACCAATAAACTTAATGGAAAAAATAATGAATGCAAACTATTTTTTTCTTTTTATTGAGTTTATTGGTATTTTTAAAGTATACAGTACAATACAGTTACATTCATTATTGGGATCTTGTTCCATGTCAGATCTTGGTTCTCATTTTTCCCCCCATACCCCTGGCAGCCTTTTTTTGAGACAGGGTCTTGCTACAGTAGCTCAGGCTGGCCTTGACCTCACAGCAATCCTCCTGCTTCAGCCAAGTGCTAGGATTACACCATCACACACAGCTTTTGAATGCAAGCATGTTTAACATGCTTGGCCTTCCAGGTGTCCATGACCTCCTGGATAACACATGCAAAATCATGTATGTGTAATTCATTTGTTCCTGGGCCCACGGGCTAGATACAGCAGGCCTCTCTGTGCGAGCTGATGACTCCTGGGCCCTCCAAGGACCAGCCCTGGCAGCCCAACCTGCTTGCTGGTAGAGCAGGAATTTTTTTTCTTTTTACTTTAAAGACAGGGTCTCTGCCTATTTGTCTGTTCCTTGGGTTTGGCTTAAAATTTCTGGCCTCAAGTGATCTTCCTGCCACAGCCTCCAGAGTCCTGGGGCTCCAGGTGTGTCAGCACACCCTGAGGCAGTAATTCTTTAACATCTTTCCAGAGGATGCTGGGACTGAAATCCTAGAAGTTGGGTAGTGAACCAACGGATACTTGTATATTAGGGTATGACAGGAGCTGTTAACACAGCCTCACCAACAGGCTGTGGCCAAACATTGGGATTTTTGACAGTCTGTTAAGCAAGAAAATGTATTTTGAGGTTCTTTTTAATTTCACTATATTATGAGCAAAGTGAAGCATTGTTTATATCTTTAAAGCCATTCATGGCCAGGCACAATGGTGCACACCATTGTAATACCAGTTATTCTAGAGACTAAAGTAGGAGGATCATAAATTCAAGGTCAGCCAGGGTAATTTAGTAAGACTGTCTCAAAATAAAATTTTAAAAAAGAGCTGTGTAGCTGAGTCTGAAGTTCTGCCAAAAAGCCATCTGAATTTCTTTATAAATGTCTTATTTTTATAAGATGTATACTATGGACATTATTGTAATATAAATTAAAATTATTTTTCCAGTTTTATGCTTATATTTTAATGAAAATTTTGTTGAATTTTTCTCTTACTGTAGCCACCATCCACCCCAGTGTTGGGGATTGAATGCAAGGCCTTTAGAGAGATATATCCCCAAGTATTTTTAAATTTTTTTTGAGACAAGGTTGTGCAAAGTCACTAAATTGCCCAAGCCGGGCTCAGATCCTCATACCTCAGCTTCCCAGAATGCAGGGATTACACAAATGCACCACCATGCCTGGCTGTTTTCCTCTACTTCTTAGTATCAAATTGTTCCTAGTGATTCCAGTGCTTAAAGGCCCATTTATACTGTTAATTCGTGATACTGGCTTTTATAATATCTTAAGTTTCCATATATACTCAGGCCTGGTTTTGGGTTTTTACAGTAATTGTTTCACTGCTCTGTGTTGGGTTATTTCTCCCCATCTGCAAAAAGCTGTTTTTTTGTGTCCCTTCCCCCAGGATGCCTAGCATGTGAGGCCCTGGATTTGATCCCCAGCACAGCAAAAACAATGTCCCCCAAACACCAACAAAAGCCCCCTTTTTTCCTAATAGAGGAATATTGGAAGGGAAAACACCAAATATTTGAGCAGTGGATACAGGTGGTGCCACTGAGAAGTGCTATACATTAAGACAGATACATGCCAGGCGTGGTGGCTCATGCCTGTAATCCCAGCACTTGGGAGGCTGAAGCAGGAGGATCACTGTGAGTTCGAGACCAGCCTGGGCTATATAGTGACTCCAGGTCAGTCAACTTTTTGCTGCTGGGCTCCTGCCCAGTGTATGAAAATGGTTTGTGGTTGTTTGAACCGTGTGAACTTTCAGTACTGTTCTGTCAAACTCTGCTCCCTCACAAGAAGGTTAAGCTTCACCCCCTCTCAGAAACGTTCTGTAATTCTGCCCACTTCAGTGAGCATGCTCACAAGGCATGTGTTTCAGGAATGTTCTGTAACTCTGCCCCACACTCATTGAGCATGCTTGCCTACCCTGAAAGTAGATCCCTATGTAAGGAGGCTGTCATTTCTGGTAGAGTGCTCAGACTCCTCTGAGCCCACCAGGGCTTGCTAGCCTAATAGAATTTTTCTCCACCTCTTAACTGACCATCAGAGCCTTCAAATTATGAGAGCTGTGACCCAGAGATGCCACACTGAGCTGTAAAGTTCAGCTGTGCCTCAGAGCTGTACCACTTGGCTGTAGCACTGAGCTGCTTGCTCTGCTGAAACATCATCTTGTTATTAGTGCAACCTTCATGGAAAAAACTTGCCCACCATCCCAAGGCTTTGTTCCTCCTTCATCTTCTCATCTCTGTGCCAGTGGGAAATTATGTCACCTTCTGGGTCATCAATAGTGGCAGGCAGGGGGCCGGGGATTTAGCTCAGTGGTTCCACCACCTGCCTCACAAGTGCCTGAGTTTGATCCCTGGTGCCAAACTAAAAGAGTGGCAGGCAGAGCCACTCTGGGGAGCTCTTGGTACAGGAGTGTAGGTCAAGGGTGCCACCCAAGGCTGGGGGAATGAGGTTCAAATTCATCTACCCCACTCCCAAGAAAAACCTCATACATTATGCCACTCTTTCCAAGTAGAGCCTTCTCTCTTGTCCCACGGGCAGGCTCACAGCAGTGAGCAGCTCCCAGGGAGTCTTACCAAGCTCCTATTTGATCTAGCACTGGTCAGTGGAACTTTCTGCAGGGAAACCGGTTGTTGTCTCCATGGTCCAATACACACCCACATATGACTACTGTAGAAATGTGGCTGGCAGGACTAGGAACTGAATCTTAAATTATATTTGCTTTTAAATCAAGAACCACACATGGCTAGAAGATACTACACTGGACGGCACAGCTTTGGCCAATTCCTAGCCTAGCCCCTCCCCTGCCCAGAATGGAGGGAAGATGCTGTGTGAGCAGGTAGTCTGGGAGAGGGGCCAGGTAGCAGGCCGAGGCAGGGAGCTGGTTTACGTTGTCCTGGGGGGGGCTCTGTGGAGGGGCCCAGCCTGCAGCAGCCCCACCCCACCCCGGTGGTGGCCATCACAATGGCAATTAGGCCAGCATCACAATGCCACCGGAGGAGGTTGAGCAGCAGGGGCAAGTCTCTTTGTCTACAGACCTACTTCCAGCATTTCCTGGGGAATGGAAAGGTACCCAGCAGCTGAGTGGCCTCAAGCTGGAGACCTATAGGAGGAAGCAGAACAGGTGTGGGGCTAGAGGAGCCTACTCAGCCCCAGCACCCAGGGGCTACGGGGCACAGCTACCTGGCTGCAGGGAGACGGGATTCTCTGTGAGCATTGAGCAGCTGTTCCTCTTCTTTCTGGCCATCTGGTTCTTCTACTTCTATCTTTGGGGCTAATTTTGACAGAGCCACCCTTCTGCCAGCTCACAGGCTGGAGGGGCAACTGTAAGCAATGGTAGCTGGCATTGCCCAGCCTCTGCAAGTGAGGACAGGGAGCAGCCAAGGACTGGAGACTTTGGGCCCATACTGTAGCCCACTGCACCTCACCTGTGCACCTCAGGGATGGAGATGTGGAGAAGCTGCCCAGGACCCCAGCCTCACGAAGCTGTCCTACATCCTGCCTACAGAGGCCCCCCACCAGCTCTGAGCTCTGTGCTTCATGCCCCATTGAGTCAGAGACACCAGAAGACACAAGCCCCCTGCAGTCAGAGGATGGGCAGGGATGTGAGGCAAGGCCAAAGGGCCCTGAATCTTCTCAGTCAGTGGAGTTGAGCTCCGTGTATTTACTGGGAAGCTGCTTTGATGAAAAAGCAGCTCTGATGAAAAAGAGCCCCAGGCTCTGATGAAAAATAAATAACCCTCAGGGCCAGATAGCAGCAAAAGAAATTTTATTCCCATTTTCTGGAGGAGAGAAATGGAGCCCAGTGGTGCTCATCATGTTCATGACAAAGGTGGTGAAAGGAGCGCTTCCTTTTAGGGAAATCTGTAAAATTTAAAAATGGATGCATCTCCAAGGGTGTTGGCAGGGGTTCAACCTGGTCCAGGGCAGGTCCTCCTGCCCATTCAGTGGTTACTATGCCTGGTTTTCCATCAGCTGGCTGGGGAGCAGAAACTCATCACAAATGCAGGTCCCCAGACTCTGCAGCACCTCCAGCACCTGCACCTGCAGGGAGATGGCTTTGCCCTCATCTGGGCACTCTGGGCTGATGCTGACCCCACAGACAGCTTCCAGGGCAAGGCAGACAGGACACTGCCAAGAGAAAGGCTCCCAAGCTCTGAGAGAGCCCTGAGGACTGAGCTGCTGGGGTGGGAGATCAGGCTAAGGTGCAGCAGTGTGTCCTGGCGCTTCCCAAGAACAGAGAAGAGGGATAGCAGCCCCCACCCTGGAACAGAGCTGAAAGCCCACGGGGCCTGCTGCGCTGTCTGTGCAGACCCTGAGGGGTCATGTGAGGTGCCAGGCGCCAGGGTTCTCCTCTGAGAACTCTGACCAATGCAGATTCCCTGAACACAACTGCAGATCTCAACCCTGGGTGGCCCGAGGGGACAAGGAATGGCCTGTCTACCAGGCTTGCACAAGGACAAAGCAGGAGCACATCAGGCTGCTTCTACCCCAGTGTGCTCAGAAGTGCACAGAACAGCGGGGTGTAGTTTTTCACTGAATCTTGGGGTGATTAGAATCTATATGGTATGGTAAGCAAAGTTGCAGGAATACATATTTCCCTTTGGGACTCCATAAAGCTAAACTGTGAATAGATAAAAAGGCAGCCTATAAACACATACTTTTCCTGAAATGAGCCACATGCTGCACAGGTGTTTTCCGCATGACAGTGCTGCACTGGTACCTGGCAGAGGGAGACTACACAGCCCCCCTGGCAATGCCTACTGTAAACCCTGACCTGCGGCCCTCACAACATGGGGCACACTGAACACTTTTATCCTTTCAGGCTGTTGACAAGAATCAGCCTGTGACTGCTCATGACTGCCCTGTGACAGTCACTTAGTAGACACATGGGGACAGGAGTATGATGACACAGGTGCTTACCAAGGAGGACATCAACCATCATTATATTAAGGCTCCAAGTGTTGGCCAGCTGGGGGTAGGGGCTGAGTCATGTGCCCCAAGCCCCGTGTGGTTCACTTCTGGGTGACCCTGAGCAGTCCACTGTGGCCCACTCGGCAGGCCTTGTTGGGAGCAGGTGTGCATGGGATGCCTTCAGCAGGGGTGCCCACTCTGGGCAGGAGCTGGCAGGAGCATAGCAGAGAGGTTCAGGAAGGCAGGGCTATTTCTCCAACCCTCCCAGCCCAGTCTATGGCTTTATCTTGTGGCCACCTGAGCAGAAGTGAGCCGCCCCCCAATCCCTGTGCTGCACTGTGAGGTGACAATGACCAGAAAGAGAACAGGCAGCTCTCACTGGCCAGACCACAGGAGAGCTATGACCCCATCCTTCCCCCTTGGTGCCTTCCAGCAGTGGCTGTGTCTGGCTGAGGCTAGTCACTCAGAAGTGCACCCGCAGCACATCCTGGCTGGTGAAGGGCCGCTGGCAGGCCGTGCAGGTCATGGGCAGGGAGCGCTGCTTCTCACCCAGGCAGGGTCGGCAAAGGAGGTGGCCACAGGGCAGCTGGTACATGGGTTCCTTTTTGCAGTAGGAAGAAAACACTCTTTTGCAGGAGGCGCACTTGGGGCCTGAGTCGCACCCAGGTTGCCCTGGTAAAGCAGAACAGGCCAGGATTAGGAAGATCCAGGGTCCCCCTGTGTGAGAGGCTGCACAATCTGACTTCTCTCTCCCTAGCCTGCTCCACCTGCTCAGGGAGAAGAGGGGCAGGGCACCAGGGGCACCTGGCAAGGCTCTCTGCCTCCTCTGACTAAATCTTTGGTGCTTTCTTGACTGCTCAAAAGCATCTGGTATCTGGACCCTTCCTCCTGGTCTCCCAGCAAGGTACACTTCCCCTGCCAAAACAAGGGAAAGGCACAAACTCATACTGACTAAAGTGCAGGAAATGGGTGAAATGAGACAAGAAAAAGGAACCCAAAAAGCAGCCCCATGTACCTGGCTCAGGGAGTCAGGTGATGGAGGCCACCGGGGATGGGGGCAACTGGGGTCTGTCTGCATCCCCTCCTGACCTCACAGTCGTCCCCTCCTATGCCACCCTGACCTCTTGGGCAGGCTCACTTCACCTCCTTGCTCTTCCTTCCCTGCAGCCTTTGCCTGAGATAGCTTCTCCCACACACACACACTGGAAGTGGTGGGTGCTATACTTGCCTGTCCTCCTTGTGGCCACTTCTCCATTCCTAACCACCACGTCCTGGGGGATCTCAAAGGTACCAGTTTGCCTGGGAAATTTTTCTTCATCCCAGCCCCTCTCCATTATGTTTGTCTCATAATCCAGGCCACCTGTGCATCTTTCTCCTGGATCTCTCCCCTTTGGTCTCCTCACCATCTTTTCCTGAAGCTGCCCCTGCTACTGCATGGGTAAAAACCTGACCCACACTTCAGCTACCTTCTGGGATAGTCAAAAGGTACTTGCCTAGCCAGTCCAGCCTCCCCTTTACCCTCAGTCTTGTCCTGCAAAGTCCAGCAATATTAAGTTGGTCCTTTCCTGCATACACTGCTGCTGTTGGCCTGCTGTACCTTCTGCAGAGAATGTCCTCTGCAGAATATTCTCCAGGCTCAGGATATTCTCCACACACATCCTGGAAGCCACCCACTGCCCTTTCTTGTGCTACTGGATCCTCTCAGATCTTCCCACGCTGTAGGTTCTTCCCTGGCTCTAAAGCCACCTCAAGAGTAAGACCCACCCTGTATTTCTCCATGCATCCTCAGGGCCTAGCAGAGCCTCTCATGCAGCTCAGGCTCCGCCAGTACATGAGGAATGACTGCCATCTGCACAAAGGGAACAGGAACCAAGAAATGGGACTCAGCTCCCTGGACTAGCATCCAACTCCTCCAAAGGAGCACAGTGGGTCTGGTCCCAGAATCACATGACTCCAAAGATTCCTTTCCTTACCAGTGACCTCTAAGATGAAGGAGAGAAGACAGGGAAGGAAAGGACAGAGGATGGCATGAGGAGGGGAGTAAGCAAAGGAAAAGAGACAGCAACTTCTATTTTCCATGTGTCCTCCATGCAGACTCTATGCTGGGTGCTCCTGGGATCTGCCTGATCCTCAGGTGCACTGTAACAATTTACTCTCTAGTGTCCCAAGAGTCACTCCTGACATTGTAAACCAATAACCCCATACGAGGACCCCGATTCTCTCTCACACCCATTAGAGTCTTAGTAGGTTACCACTAGGACACTGATGAAAATGTTAATAGAAAGAGGTGACAATGACATCCTGAATTCTGAAATTCCTTTTGCATGTACATAAAGTTGCATAATAGATATTGAGAAGTGGGAAGAAAATGTTCAAATGGGAAGGGAATAAAGGGAAAAGAGAGTAAGAAAGGAAGAAGGTACAAGAAAAAAAGAAAATAGAAGGAAAAGATGGAAACAAAGCTTTTGCACATAGGGAAGGGAGGGGGCATAAGAGGAGAAAGGGGAAATGCAAATTCCCTATGAGGAGCATTGTCGTTATGTATGTTTAAAATATATCCATAAATGTTTTGCAATAATAAAAAATGAAAAATGACTAACATAAAGTTTCCTCATTTGTCAGGTGGAAGACAGGTGAAATCAGGAAGATTAAAAAAGGAGAAGAGGGGCTGGGGATTTAGCTTAGTGGTTTCAGCGCCTGCCTTGCAAGTGCAAGGACCGGAGTTCAATCCCCAGTACCAAAAA